CCTGTCATTGTTTCAATCATAAAGCAGTTTTTGCTGCTTCGTGGCCTCAATGAGGTACCTACTGGCGGTTTAGGTGGCTTTTCAATCATTTGTCTGGTTACTAGTCTTCTCCAACACCTCCCGTATAGCGGTGCAGAGCCGAACCTTGGTGGTGTTCTCATGGATTTCTTTGATTTCTATGGTAATAAATTTAACTTCAGCGCAGTTGGCATACAATTTGATCCTCCTGGCTACTTTGATAAGGTATCAACTAATTTCCCTTGTCAAGCGTACTTCAACTGACTAACCACTTGCAGAAACTCCTTGGGGTCTATCTAGCAAATCGACAACAAAGACTTTCAATTATGGACCCTAACAATCCTGATAATGACATCGCAGGGGGTACAAAGGAGATTCAATTAATATTCAGAACCTTTGCGGATGCATATCGAACTCTCAAGCAAGAATTAGTGCAAACAGCGTTCTCAGGGACTCGCAGAGGTAGCCTCCTCGGTTTGATTCTCGGCGCCAATTATGAAACATACGAACACCAACGCGCACATTTGAGTGTTCTGTGTAAGAGTGATCCTCGATTTGCGCATTATGTCCAACCCCCTCCACCTAATAGTCCGCCACCAGAAGAGCCTGCGGCTCACCCCTCACCTCCCCCCCATCCCCCAGACGATGCGGACATTTTGACAGCGAAAGGAAACGAACAAGAAGATTCGTCACAAGGCCTCAAGCTCTCCAGAAAGAAGTCAGTGGCATTTGATCGTGCCGCCCGACTCAAGCAACTCCGACCTGACTTGAAACATGTTCCGAAATTTCTGGATCTCGATGCAGCTATGAAACTGGGAGGCTATTCATCCATTTCAGAAATGGATCGTGACTTATATCGAAGGGAAAAGGCGCTTCTAGGGTAATTAATAATTTTCCACGGATTCGCTTGCTTATTGTAGACCAGTTACTACTTTTCAACCTCGACCATGGTCTCACGTGTCATACCACTGCACAAGATGGCTCGAACTGGGACTTGATTTGTGTCAGAATTCCCGACCGGTGACACACCCTTGTCTCTGTAGCCCGCATGACCTATTGATGATAATCCTTTTGCTTACACTTCGTTCTCTCTCCTTTCTCATCTTTGCTTCCAAACGGCGCTTTTGTATGGTTGTACTCGCATGATACCCTTCGAAATATTAACCACATGGAAGTGGTGAAGGTGGGACGGAGGATTTGACTTGCTTTTGCTATAAATTGCAGGTTCTGTGCTGTAGCGCACAGGGCGATTTCTTTCACTTCTTCCATGAAGTTAACATTACATGTTTTATTTATTTTTATCCGCTTGTTGCCAGACTTGACCAGCACACCAGCTCGCTCGCGGGTCTTACTTTTCCAATGTCATCCCTTCACTGTTCTCCAGCAATTGACTCGAAACCAGGATACTCAAGGCTTCCAACTGGCAGTCGATTACGTTTTCAAAATCCCGCTTATGTATTCTCAAATCAATTAAGAACCCCAAAGCTTGCAGCTCTGCAGGCCTTATACCCACCCTATCTCCCAAATTTTTCTTGTTCTTGCTTACTGAAATAATCTAGTATACGGGAAAGATATAGAACCCCCGGCCTAATCGCTGGATTCCTTTAGATCTTCTTTTTGCATTACTGACGTTACACCTCGCTGAAAAGATACCTGGCTAAGAAAGTCGCTGTTGAACCGCTTAAAAACAATCATCTCCACACAATCCGACCGTCGTATAAAGTACAATGCAGATAAGGTTAAGTATCCCAGTCATCCTCGATTTTCCCTCCCCCTCGGTTCCACCTTGGACGCACCAACCTCTTTTATCCTTCTCACCATATCGCCAGCTATACGCAGGCCTATGGAGAGGGGTGAAAATTGCTCCCATTCACTCTCAGAAGAATACCTCCCGACTCCGATATGATTGCAGATATTTTAAGTTCATCTTACTGTTATCTCTTCGTAAGCTCATTTATTACTCTCCGTTCATTTTGCGCTCTAGCAGGAAAAGTGGCAACGCCCTTTTAATTTTTCCCGCCGCAACCATCCTGCCCCGATTTCCCCGTTTCCCGCCAGTTTCCGTATCATTAAGTTGTTAAGAAATAGAATGTGATTTTTATCCCAATGGTCATCATCTCTGCAGCCCTTCTTGTCTACTTGTTGACGCATTTATTTTTCTACACTCCAGCCGTTAGTCCCAGCTCCTTGCAATTTTCGCGATCCTCTTCATCATTCTACCATCCGCCTTTTCGTCCTATGTCGTCTCTCATTCCCCGGTCCCGGGGGGAGCAAAGAGAGGGGAGGGGGATTAAATATAAATATAAACATAAATATTAGGGCACTCACGACAGGATCGCAAAAACAGCCACCCGGACAATCCCTTACAGTTCCACATTTTATATCCACGCTCTGGCAACGGTTATCTAAGGCGGCCTATTCTCTCGCTTGGTTAGACGTCATCTTTTCCTTTTCTTTCGCTAGAGGGCTGAGGGCTGGGGAGGGAGGGAAGGGTTTGGCATTGCCAACTCACTGCCGCAGCGCGTCTCGCGGGACTCATGTTTTCACTACCGAGTGGACTGGCGGTCACGATGCCAACGACGAGAGCTGTAAAAGCCCAGATAAGTTTCATATCTGCTTCTCTTGATGCGTCAAAACAGAGAATGATAGGATTTGGCTCTTTAAATCTAAGACTTAGTCGGCTAGATGTATCTTATTTCTATCTGTAGAATGTTACCGAAGTTGACCAAAAACATACCTCTGTTTAATATATCAAGAAAGGCAGTGATACTGCAAAGAGTAGGGCGAATTTTTGACAGCGTGCCTACGACAGCGTCTTCTGAAGAATTGAATCACACAGACTGGAGGTACAGAGCGGTATGCTACCATTTATATATGAGGAGATAAATAGAGATAGGTATCTACCGTTGCTCGAGGAACGTATTCATGAACACCCTTCCCACGCGTCCCTCCCGGAAAAGCAACCAAAATTCAAAACTCAAACTCCAATGGAAATGCGAGCGGTCATTGGCATTCGTCCACCAGCCAAGAATAGATCTGCAACAGGCCTGTAAACATATCTGTGCCTTGGTTGAAAGTAGGCCAGCACTGTCACCAGGGTGAAGAGAAGTAATTTTCTTTTCGTTGCTTCCACATCTGTTGCGTTCCGTCACTCTGCATTTCCATTATTTCGAAAAATCGCTGGGCGCTTTAAGCATACATGAAATTAACATGTTTTTCCACGTATGCGTGTCCCTCAATATTTTGGACATGTTGCTGCTTCTGCTGCTGGAGAGTCAGTTCTGCTCCATAGGCAAACTTGAAAAAATGTTTGAAAATGAAATCGCAAACCAACCTATTAAAAGTTTGGCTGGCTGCACTATTGAGACGCCAAAAGCGCCTTGTAAAAGATTTATGCCGGTCAAGATCGTCATACCTTGCAGAAGAGAACTTTCGACTTTTTCTGGTTGGCCGTTTTGTGCAACTCCATGTGGCCAAGCATTCTTGCTACGAGCCCCTTTTTCTCCCTTTGCCGGAGAATTTATCAAGCCTGCCACAAAATGGCAGAACCTGAAACAGAAACTGATCACAATGATCAGCGACGGCGATCACGTTAGGTATTACTGTCTAACCCTCTAACTAACTGATGGTAGTCCTCTGGAAGCTGCACACATGCACCAATAGATCCTGGGCCCTGCTGCCCATGGCATCTGCACCACACGAAATTCAGTCCGCGCCACAGGTTTGGACGAACCCGAATTAAGGAACATTTATCTCAGAACTCGCCCTCCATAACATGGAGAACATAGGTAACTAAACTATTGGTGTTCAATCACAGCGTCTTCTTGACAGTAATAGTTATTGTGAACAGTAACAAAACTGGAACCATCTACCATTGACTTACCTGGTACCTGGTACTATCACCACCCTCCCTTCTTCCTTTCTGAAGAGAATCCAATCCATGGGTGCGCAGGGTAGATTTCGATGTCGATCGTATGTTTCGAGGTTTCAGCAACCGGGGTCCGGCGTATTTAAACCAGGGCCAGCTCCCGATCTACCATCAGCTAACATGAACAAACAGCGCTTTTGTTATATTATAGTGATCGCACATCACTCTCCGTCTTACTACATCATTCTTCATGGTATTCCAAGGCTCTCCTGAGTCTTCGGCAAAAAGCATCACACACCTCACGCTCATTCTCATCAACTCTATCCGCCGTATTGGTTGGTTGGTTCTATCACGGTGCATCCTTTGGCATTGAAGTTGTGATTACGGCATCCTGACCCCTGGCCCCATCAATCACTCAACATGAGAATACTTAATGCTTGCATCCCATTTCCCGACGCCAACCTTCACCGGTAAGATATAGATATGGGATGCATAATAATCGCTTGGCTGTTACAAGGGCAGAGGTACAGTATAAGGAGATACTTCGAACATTCGGACAGAGCAATAAAACTTGAGTACAGTGGGACAATGCACGTGTCGAGATGCTGTCCCCACCTATTAATTAATTATCTCATACGGATAACACGTTTGCAAAACATGAAGAACAACGACACAAGACGGGCACTGTTTTAAAACAGAAAAGGTGGTAGCTTCGAAAATTAACCTGTTGACAAATTGGGGCCCCCAATTGAACAAAAAGAACGAATATAATTCGAAGCAAAAGAATACCACACTGCGAGCAGTGAAAACACAAATGAATGGGATAGAAAAACGACATCTAGTATTACTTTTTTTTTTTTTTTTTTTTTTTTTTTTTTTCGTTCCAAAACGTTACACCGATGAAAAATTGTCAGCTGGTTGCTACAATAGGGAACGCAATCGGAAGCCGAGTTGGATTAAAATACCAGTGAAGTAAATCTCGATTAAACGTCGCGAAGAGATCGCATAATCCTCAGTCGCAGCAAAATGCAGCTTCATTGGCACGAAACGCCCAGCCTCTCTGAATTACCGATCTTGTGTGTACTCGGCCCCCTTCGTTCCATCGCAATAATAATTACGATGGAAGTTGGAGGAGGAGCCCATCAGGAAGGCTAAGCAGAAGTGCACTTGTTTGCGTTTCTACTCTTCCACCAGCACCCGCCCTGGCAGACGATTTTGCCGACAGTCTGGACATTTGCTCGAGAGGAGACAACGCCAAGAAAGTGATACACAATACCAGAAGCTACGGGAGGTCTGCGGATGCCGCTTGTCTGTCCAGTAGCTTACTTTCATGGGGCGAATTAGACGGCATTGCTTGCAAAAACGCCAGGACATGCCATGGGTGTACTCGATGGTGGCTGGAATTTCTATATCGCCGCGCCCCGGATCATTCCCAGGATTCTCAGCACCGCTTCCGGGTAGAGGTGTATCGGCTGCTGCGGAAGGAGACGCAGTGCTAACAACCGTGGTTGATGGGGAAGAACCATCGGCAGGAACTGATCCGGAAACGGCCCCACGGGCTGCAGCGGCAGCATTGTCTCGACTTTCCACACAGAGGGCGTGAGCTACGGCGATAGCGTCAGCCATGTTTGCAGCCGTGCAGGTAGTCGTGCAGCACGTAGCCCGACAATGGTGGTGATCCGATATTTGCTGTTAGCTCGAAAGGCCTTCCGCGTCGAAAACTTGCAATATGCAACACAAGCCTGTGTGCGCTGCTTTCAGTATCCAATTCAACATTGCAGGCGCCGTGTTGGGCTGCCCTAGACCGAGAACGGGGCACTGATCACCTACCGAAAGCCTAGGTCCAGTGTTGCGAAACTAGAGAGCTGGGTCCCGCGACCGCAGCTCTGCGAAAGGGAAGGATTAACAATACGAAATAAACTATATATGCGAAATATAAATGGTGAGATGGGATTGAACAAAGGTGCCGTGGGTTGTCGGTTGTCGGTTGGCGATTGGCGATGTTGCTCTGTTGGCTGTGGAGAGAATCCGGCATCAGGAGAAGAGCAAATAAATAAACCTCCTTTTTCCGGCTCTTCTGAACTGCTCCTTCTTCGAATACATCGGGCATATGTGCAGGAAGAGGCAACTGTCGTTCCCAAGAGAATCGCAGGAACAACCCAGCTGGGGTTGTCTCTTGCTCAGCCCACGCCTTCCAAATATCGTCATGACGCTGTGTCAATTGATCGCCCTTGGAAGGTCCCACCGGGTGGCAGTGGCCTTGTTCTTTCCACGATCCTTGCGGTACTGCCCATTGCTGCACGATCTGAATAATAACTTATTAAGTACCAGAAGACGCATTGCAAGAAGCGCTGCATAACAATGAAAGGTTGTCCACGGGTGGTGCCTCCGGATCTCACGGTGCACACATATATGCATAATATATGCTGGTAAAGATGGAGTGCGAAAGTGGCTCCGGCTTTATGTGGAATGAAAGTGGCGTGTATCAAGGAAATTTTTTTAAGAAACAATCTTGGAGTGAACGGATAGGCCACTAGGCCCAAATCCAAACACCCCTGTTCATTCAACAAAGTGAGTTTCTATGGTTGCTAAGAGCCAGGTCGCATGGTCTTAATTTATTCAGAATCGGAGTCTTGTTGTAGATTTATGCACCATGCATACGGGATTATGAACGCCACCAAACTCCGCACTCCATGCAGTCATGCACTGCAAGTTCAGGGATGGCCCATACATAAGAGGAGAGAGAGGTGCATGGAAGGAAGATGTAAAATTATATGATGAATATGACCGTAGCATCTAAAATCAAAAAGGCGAGGAACATTCCCCAGAGTTGTTGGCCTCTTGCAATAAAAGGAGACTGTGTAAAGTTCACCAGGAAAGGAGAAGAGAGACCACATAACTAGGCATATGATATCGTTCTGAATGACCTAACCTGCAAGCAAGAAAGAAAAAATAATGCTCATTTGTTAATCGGTTCCATAGGAGGCGTAAGCATCCTTGCACTCTTGTTCCCGACGTCATCATGCTCTCCTGTTGGAGTAGAAAACAATACTCCACCATCCAGCTCATCCGTATTGTGATTTTCAGGGAGGGTATTTAAAAATCCTTCCTCCGGGCTTGCCCAGGTATAATCCACCCACTCTGGTCCGAGAATTTCTCGAATCCCCTTAGCAAGTTTTATTATGCGTTGCCGTCTGGCTCGAGACCATTGGCGATCAGTAATACCATAACAGGGCGTCAGCACACTGGGAGGCATGGAAGTGTCCTTGGAAATTGGGACATTAACATTTTCGACCGTTTCACTTGTTCCACGTTGAAAATATTCCTCGGAATCCCCATCAAGGGACAGGGAGTCCTCTCCTTCATTCTCCAGGCCGTCAACAATGCTGTGCCACACACGAAGTGTTTCGTTCAATTCATCCAAGCTGCTCACGCCCACAACACTAACACCCAACCTCCGCCCAACACCAAGCATAGCGGCAGATATGAAACCCGGATCTGCATCAGCAGACGGCGCAAGTGGCGGCCCAAGAGCGCCTGCAGCTGAACCTTCACGCAACCAAGACTCGAGCGCATATCTTATCGCGACAACCTCAATTTTCTCGCCCTGTCTCTCTGTCCATTCACTGGCGGATCGGATTGAATTTCGCAAACCGACAGGTGCCGGATGGAAATCCCCCATACCCCCAATGGGGACGCCATCGCGTCTCAGAAGGCCCATTCCTAGAGGGGAGGCATTGGGAACGACATCAACGCCAGCAGCAAGCAGGCGTGGCAGTCCTTCCACGGCAAGTTTCGTGTTTTGAAGAGTAAAGTTGGCATAGGACATCACAGCGTCCAGCGGCTCACCGGTCCTTTGCAAAATCATCTCCGCCAATGAACACAGAACGTCCACCGGGTACCCTGATATCCCCACATAACGTATTGTCCCCTCCATATCGCGAATTCTGCGTAGTTCAACCACTGCGCCCAGAACTTCGTCTGGTGAAACGAATTCGACATCGTGACAGTATACCACGTCGAGGTAGGCGGTCTGAAGTCGCGATAAGCTGCGCTTAATGCTCTTTCGGATCCATGCAGGTGAGTAGTCGAAGGATTGCGCCGCGATTCGACCAACCTTGGTGAGGAGACGGTAGGAGTATCTAGGGAACTGGATGCGAACGAAGTCTGTGGATAGAGCGCGGCCTAGCAGTTCCTCCGCTGGTCCATAGTATGGTGAAGTGTCAAAGGCTCTGATTCCGGCCGATAATGCGCGTTGGACTATGGCAGTTGTGGGGAGGACGTATGGATCGGCATTGTACTGGGAATTAAAGGTTGCGGTTCCGCAGATGAGTGGCGGTAAATCCGACGATAGCGGTATAGAAGGCTTCCCCATGCCTTTCAATAAGATATATCACTCAATTAGGAATAAGCAGAGGCTGCGGTGAGGTAGTACTGCAAGTGGGCTGATTAATAGGGTAAATAGTCCAAGCCTGCCGCTGCTAGATAACGAACGACAAAAAATTTTCCCCGCGCTGAAATTTTCAGGAGTCGGATAAACGGACAGTAAACTTGGCGGAAGAAGATAACTAACTACCCACTCTGATGCACACTCTGGACGCCTGTTTTAACACCACCTCAAGCTGGTTAGTTAGTTAGCAAAGGGGAAATAATTCATATTATCGTTGTCAACCAGGAATGCTATGGGTCCTCTTTGAACCTTGGGGCAAAAAAAGTTGATTATCCATTTTATATTGTTGGTGAGCGTTAACCCCACAAAGATGGTCAGCATCTGGTTGCTATTTCGTGGGGAAATATTCTTCCTCCGGTTAGGCTAGAATTCTGAGAGAGAATACCTGAGACTTGAAAGATGAAATCATGAGTTATACCAGCGCTGTCCCAAGCGGAATAGCTAGCAAAGATGTTGTGGTTGCGTAGTTGTTAGATGGGGACGGTAGTTGAAAGATGAGATAATCTTGAAAGGTTGAGGTATAAGGCGGAAGTTGAGCCTCAAGATATCAGATTTGATTAAGGTTTGACAGTAGAAATTGGTGATTGTTGTCCTTGGATATTCTTATTGATTCAGTTTATACTCAACATAGTGTTGTTTCCCAAACTCTTCCAATTGTGAATGAAACTTGACGATAGTTATGGTTTGCTATAAAGCTATATGGAGGAGTACTGCTATTCTGTCACCTAAACATCCATTTCCGATATTTCAATCCATCTTCGGATTCATATCTCAGCCAGATACAAGCAAACCGCATCTCCACCATTCGGGAACCCGCATTTTCTTTCCATTATTTTCATCTTCTACCTCTTCTCATCTGTACACCCCTGATCATCACAAGCGTACACAAAATCCCAGAAACCAACATTTATAATACATGAACATCCCCGCAACGAAATGAAGTCTATCAAATAAATAAGAGTGGAGAAATCCAGTTAATAATACATGGGGAAAACAACAGCGGGGGTAGTTCCCCTATTCTCTAGTGCCCTTCCACATATATAACCAGAAAGGAAAGGGGAAAATAAAGAAGATCTTTTATACAAGCAGCCTGTTCACACTCCAAGGTTTCGGGGTATCCAGGAAAATTAGGTATGTATCGGTGTTTGACTAGGCAATGCCGTGCAGTAGCACAAGTAGAGTAATGTGCGCCAGTTGGAAGGAAAGTGAATACGGTATGAGGCGTTGGAACAAACGCTGGGACGTAAGAGAGGCGAATGAGAGCATGGCCTAGCCCATCTGAGGCTAAGAAAAAATCAAGGTAAGGGTAGAAAAGAATCCGTAGACGCCCGTGCTATGCTGTGAAAAATAGGGGGAATAATAGTGACATATGGTAACAGAAAATAGTGGTGTAGTCGTAGTTGTCGATGCCGTAAACGAGAAAGAAATTCCCAAGTAGGTCGTAGGGAGTTGATGGGTTCCCCTCCACCGAAAGTGGGAATATGATATTCGAAGGTTATCGGTCTTTAAACACTTTAGGTTTCCACCCCTCCTTAATTTCCTTTTCCATAGCAGCCTTCCGCCCCGCCTCTCGCACCTCCATCTCAATGCGCTCTCTGGCGCGCAGAATCTTGCTCTGGAGGTAAAAGCTGCCCCCCTTCTTCGGGTCGTTTAGGTCGAACAGTTTCTTGAAGCGCTCCATTGTGTGTTCCAGGTTCGCCTCGCCGCCCATCGGTGGTTTGACGTTTAGGATTTTGCAGGCTTCATCGAGCGTTAGGCCCGACGACGCGATGTTATTGGCTGAGGTTATATTTCCCTTTTGCGCCTGGGCTGCATATTTCGACGTGGCTGACGCTTGCTTGTATGCCTCTGCAAAGGCCCGTCCGAAGACCCGACCGCCCGTAAGGACTATCTGGACGACAATCCGGTGCGCCTGGAGAGAAGAAGGTTTGTTAGTTATTGATTCGATGTGGAGGCAAGATGTAGAAAGAATGTAGTTAGGGAGAGCGAAAGCGTACCATCCCAATTCCGTCCGAGAAGGTCCGTTAAATCCTCTACCTCCCGACAGACCACAATAAGCGAGTGGGGTGCAAGAACGTGGATGTGTTGTTTGGGAGATTTGGATGTTGTTGCTTGCCGCAGAAGAATTCGACTTTGATCTTCAACTTATTAAGGTGAATTTTTTGGCGCCGGATCTGGTTTAGCGAGGTTCGGAATACGGTTTTCTCCTTTGGGTTTAGCGTAGTCTATCGAATTAACTCCTTATTGTACGGTTCAACGATAATCCGACATTCTCCCAACCAGCCTCGAAAATTGCGGATATATATGCAAAAATGGGTTATTACGGCGAATTCCATTTTAACTATCCGTTAAGTTATACATAATTTATGTTATTCCACCCTGTCAGCGACGACGGCAAGCTCTAACTGCGATAATTTAGCCAACGTAATTCCCAACTGAGTGGGTCATCAAATTGAAAAAATGCAATCAATTTATCAATCTATCTCCGTTGACAAATCAAAATGCCATTAATTTGCAATAAAAATTAAATGGCTCCCTAGAATTAGAGAGAAAGATTGAAAATTGCAATTAGTATCTTAGAAATTTAAAGAAATCATCTCAATTTGTGAAGAAGTAAGATTTTGTAATATTTTATACTTTATTTTTATCCACTGATTGATTGGTTTATCTATATATAACCATATATAAATTTACATCAGTTGATTAAAGCTAAAAAGAATTCTTAAACGTTAAATTAAATATGAAAATATTAAATATTAAAAACAGATCTATGTTGAAAAATAATGGTTAATTTATAAATATACTATTTAAAAAGTTAGCAAAGAAAGAGAAAGTAAATATGTAAAAATAAAAAAGTTTCAAATATCTACAAGCTTATTATTTGTAAATTACTATTATTGTTTTATACGTGTACTAAGACAGTGACTAGAATGAGCTTATAAACATGAATTGACGCTCACATTATTGTCCTCATTGAGCATTTTGATGAATTGACAAGGCACCCTCGGAATAATGCACGTGATTCTCCTGCCTGCCAACTGTCCCCGCCCAAGGTTTGTTGAGGCTTAAGCTGGCAAGAACAAGGAATTTTCCAAGGTTGATGATAGAAAGACACTACATCAGGACAAATAACTATTAAGGCCCACTTCTGCCAACTCACACTAACCAGCATCACGACAAACATCGTCGCTGATGCTAAAGTAGAGTGTTGTCTGTTCCTCATAGCGTCATCTGTACCACCCAGAATGACCCTGTCTGGGCAGGTGGATAACGGGCTCCTGGTTGTATGGCAGCTATCGGTATCTCCACCCCGCATAAACGCATTTATCATAACCCCCAAGCTCTATTCTGATGCTCATACCGATGTTTAGAGACCCCTTGGGTAGATTCCATGTCCCCAACACCCTATCCGCAGGACGATGGCGCTCCGGCGGTCCTTGCGGCCGCCGATGGGGCTCCACCCACAGTCGCTGCGTTCGCTCCCACTACTATCTCAGGCTTGTCTCTGGCCTCGAGACAGCGTTCTACTATAGTCGTCCATAGGAAATCCCCTCTCCTGGTGGCCACTCCACCCCCGGTCACACGTGCTTTGGCCTACTCTCACCCATTCCTTCTCCCGCTCAATAGACTGGCAGGGCTGCTTTCATGGACGACTGGGGATCCTTGGGAGAGTTTCCTTTTAGTTGCTTGTTTTTGTGCAACTGTTTTATACGGAGATGTTATTCTTCTCTGGGCTGGACCTATCCTGGTTGTACTGGGACTGATATTGGCTATGTACTCGCGTCGATATTCTCCCTTATCGTCAACTGGTCTTACCGGAGAAAAGCATGGGAGTCATGGGGTAGGAGACGGCGCCTCCCAGCACCTTAAGAGCTTAGATGAAATCGTAGAAACTCTGAGGACGTTCACCACGAGATGCAATATCTTGCTTGAACCACTGCTGGAACTTACCGATTTCCTTTCCACCCAGCGGACGGCCACCTCCGCAACGACCAGGCCAGCGTTAACGTCTTTAACGATCCGTGTAGTCCTTATGACTCCTGTATGGATCCTGCTGACTCTGCCCCCTTTCCGCCTCATCACCCCTCGACGTGTTATACTTTCAGTAGGCACGGTCATAATCACATGGCACTCCAAACCAGCACGTATATCTCGTGTAATACTCTGGCGTTCATTGACCGTACGACGTATTTGTTCTGTTGTTACAGGACTCCCCTTTTCCACAACCCCCTCTCCCATTTCGAGAGATTCAGACGCTACATCAAAGTCATCCATTCTATCGTTAAATCTATTCCGGCGCAAGTCCTCCAATTATGCATCTGCCATTTCGATGAAACAACGACGAGCCAACTCGTCTGGTGTCCGTTTCACTTTCATCCTCTATGAAAACCAACGGCGCTGGTTGGGGGTTGGCTGGACGTACTCTCTCTTCGCATACGAACGCGCTGCATGGACAGATGAACATCTCAACCCTGCTCCGTCGATTGACGACTTCGAGCTACCTGAAGTTGAAGGCGGAAATGCGAAATGGAAATGGGTACCTGGGAGCGAATGGCGAATCGATACCGTTCCATCTGATTTCTCCAGCAAACGGTCTTTCAAATCGTCTCAAAAAGATAATGGAGGGAACTCAGACAATGATGAGGGTTGGATATATTACGACAGTAAGGTGAGAAGAAATTATTTGTCATTTAGACCTTGTTACGAAACATATAGCTATTGGTGTTATCAATGTCGTTCTCCTAGTTGAATATATTTATCCTACATGCCTCATTGCTAAATGTTTTACCATAGTGGAGCGATGGCCGTCGTGGCAAAGATGGCTGGGGCCGCTACACAAGACGCCGGAAATGGTGTCGGGATGCCGAACTCGTCGAAATAACTCCCAGCACGGAAAGCACTCCACCACCATCATCCACTGAAGAACAGGGATCATCATCTTCCCTGCCACAGACGAACAACTCCAAGGGCGACGATGATATTTCCGATACGGAAGGGAGAACCTCCCCACCATCTGACTCTCGCAAACCCCGCCAACGACGATGGTTCGGCAGCAGCGAGCTGTCAAAAGCCCTAGCATCGCCTCCCGGCTCCGCATCTAGTTTACCTTTGTCAAATGGCGACTCATTATCAACGGCACTTGCAACAGGCGCAGATTCAGGTACGATGGCGAAGCAGCCGTCGCCAAGCATTCCAAACGTTCGTGCCACCTCTTACAGCAACTCTTTCCCACGCACATACAGTTTTGACAATGGGGGTAGCGGTAGCAGTAGAAACAGCTTGACCTCCCGTCGGCGCAGCAAAGCCAGCAGCGCCATGGTTGATACGGATGGGGAGAGCTTAGGTAAGAGCATGCGCGATCAGGAAATTGAGGAGGCCGAAAATATTGCAGATCGGTTTGGTAGTCGGCCTGGTGGGGTGGCGGAGAGAGCGGAGAGGGGATGGGGTCTGGGTGATGATGCCCATATGGGGTTAAGCTAAAGCTACCACAGCTGGTGTCTCTTGTTAGTTTGTAGGGATAATTTCTCTATTCCTCCTTTGTGTTTTTATTTAGATATATTTTCACAGTCTTCCTTGTATGGCATATACTTCGCCCACGGCAACCTGGATGGGATGGCATGGCAAGGCATATGGAGGGGCGTCTGATGTACGTTCGGGCATCTTTTTTTTCTATTCCAAGCTGCAAGCATACGATTTTTTCTTTTTTCTTTTTTTTCCCTTTTTTTTTCTTTCTTTTTTTTTTTTTTTTCTTTCACGAGGGGAATGGCTATCAACTTGTATCTGTAATCCTATCATGCTTAATGCGCTTTATGTTTTATGAATTCCTCTTAGAGACCTCAGATGTATTTCCCTTACAGTACAGAATATAAGATGCAAAGACAGTTGTTATTTTACACCATATTATTTAATGTGATACCCGATCTATAGCTCTATATAATGAGTTAGGTTATAATCAAGTTTCCAAACGGATCGAAACGTTGAATTATGTCATCAGTATGCTAACTAGTTAGTTATATGGACTTAAGAGACGTCTCTTAAGGGGAAAATAAATAATTTAATACCCAACATGGAAAGAAACGCACCCCCCCTCCACAACCCCGAGATAGGCCAATCCCATATCTAAAAATGTTCAATATGAAAAATAATAATAATAATAATAATAATAAATAAAATATAATATAAAAAATAATGAAAAAAGCCCCCTCGGCTAAACCACCTAATCCGTTCACAATTTAATCGCCTCACACATCATGTTCAAATCCTCCCCATCCACCGCATCCACCCTGTCCCTCACCACCATCTCCACCGCCTCATCCACATCGTCATCCCCACCCAGCAAATCCAACCAACCCCTCGTATCCCCCCTAGCCAGCAGCCGATCCGCAACAATAGCCACATCCTCCCGACTGACATTGGCCGCCACCCCACCCTCCAAATACACCTCCTTCGTCTTCCCCAACTCCACCTTCCACGTCGCAGGCGCATCCATCAGCGCTCCAGGCCTAAGCAGGATGGCCTGGAACCTCTGGTCCCCCTTCCGGCCTAACTGGTCATCCATCTCTGCCCGCTTGCGCGCCATGACGGTGAAGTACTCGTCCGCCGCTAGCTTTGCCTGGTAGTAATCTGGTATCACGTTTTGGTTTATGTGCTCGAAGTGCTTCCAGGTTTCTGCGGAGAGCCACGAGGGCTGCTTGCGTCTGCTGCCGATGTGGGAGATTAGGAGGAATTTGGTTATGGAGGGGTCGTTGAAGGCGGCTGTTATGAAGTGTTTGGCTGCGTCGCGGTCGATGGTGTAGGTGCGGAGCGGATCGCCTTTGCCGCCGGCTCCTGGATGATTGAATATGTCGGGTTAGTGGCGGACCTTTAGCTCTTTGGGGTAATTTATCAGGAGGTAAAAATGTTTTCTATGAACGAGTGAATGGAACAAAAGAATGATAGTAATGTTAATGATAATGGTAATGATAATGGTAATAATGGAAAGCATACCAGCTGCCCAAACGATATAATTCGGCTTCACACGTTCTATTATTGCTTTGGCATCGTCGGCGCTCTTCACGTCGTCGAGACTGGAAACAGACACTTCGACTTTGCCCTTCTTTCCTTTGCCCAGTTTCAGGATATCTTTGGTCTGCTCTGGGTTGCGTATTGCACTGGTTACATCCCAGGAGCGATCGAGGAGGAGGGGTGTCAGAAGGAGGGCAATTTTGCCGTGCCCGCCTAGGAGGAGTACACGGGGGTTCGCCATGCTTGAGATTCTGGTTCACGGTGGCTTATGTCAATGGCTGTCAGTAACCCCTATGGGCGGAAGTTGGTATAATGCGATATCTGGGATGTGTGTTGTTTGAAGGATAGGTGTATATGTGTAGAGCTAAACTCCGCAAACCCGGTCGTAGATCCTGACCCAAGTATGGAGAGAGAGAGAGATGTAAATAAAACAAACAAATATACTTCTGCAGAGACGGAGCCAGTTTCCTTGTTGTTTCTGGAATAGATCGGAGGATCTCCTTTTCCGGTTTATCTAAGAATGGACATCCGCGGATTAACTAACTAATTGCTAGCGGGAAGAACACATAATATCCCTCCCTTATACATGTGTCAAAAAGGCAAGCCTGAACAGTTCCCTCAAAGGGGGTCGAATTCAACAACGGCAAAATATACGCGGCCAATGAAATGTCAACGTTGAAGAGACCGTAAAGCTCTTTCCCCTTCCACGCTAGTCCTGTTCGGAACGCGCTAGCCTCGTTTAGGCCTAGCGCATCCACCCCACGTTGCTTTGTATCTTCTCGCTTGCGTGAAGAAACTCTCATTATCATACATTAGAACATATAATACTCGGTTCGTTCTTACGCATTTCTATAATGACACGTGGGCGTTACTTCATTGCGAGTTTGAGGACTGTCTGTGATGACGTCATGGCGTCATGATCGGGCGCAAATAGCCGACGAGAAGAGGAGGGAGACGACGATGCGGAGCGGTTGTGTTGGGGCGGGGGAGGGAGGCGTTATGCGATGGAATTGTATGGAAATTCTGGTGCGCATATGGAGATTGCCCGCGTGGATTTCTGCACTACTCTATTTTCCTCTTTTTTTTGGTGCTTGGTTTTTATAGATCTAACATCGCTTTAATATAGTATTTAATCAGTATACCGTATTCTTGGGAGATATTCCTCGTAGCATGCCAAAGATGGGCATTGATCAGAGGGATTTACTTTGCTTGATCAGTCATTGGTTCCACCATTCCACATGCAATAACTATCCATGAATAGTTAGTTATTCCTGCGGTGGGTTGTGTCCACTTGTCTCCGTAATTGAGCTCCAAACTCAAACCGGACCCTGTCACGTCACCCCCCACTAAGAAAAAAAATCTCACGTCATGGAAAACAGTGTCAACGCTTCAACGGAACCTCATTGTATGCACATGCATTTCTTTGCTCATCTTTCTGACCACCTTCTGTTGGCGGTGGAGAGTTTGTATAGATGGCACAGATCTAAGATCCAGGGCCGGGAAGCGGTTAAGCTTTCCAATGGCGATTAGCGAGGGGTTACTAATAATCTGGATTGCTTATTAGATTAACTATTTAGATTGCTGAACAGTGGATGAAAAGGGGATTTCTTCCCAGGAAGAATCGAGATGACTTCTACAACAAAAATTTGAAATCATACTGCTTTTGAGTCATTTGCCGGCCCCCATTGGACTGTGGAGGGACAAGGGCTTCGCGAAGAGACTACGGAAATCCCGTTAGCCCAAGCGTGAAGATGTAGGGTGAACTTGTCATGAATAGAGAAAAAGTGCTTTTTGAAGGACAAACCTAAATTTCGCTTTGAGATGGATGTCCTTGAACCCAGATTGTAGGCAGGATGTTTGTATTCTTTCCTTCCGCTACAATCTTTCAGACAGCATTTGCTACGGCCTGAAAAACGGAACAGCCTGACAAATGAATGGAAGTGAAATGAAAAGTAGTGGATTCAAGGTGTTTTGGTTTTCAATCTTTTTTAAGAGTAAAATAAAGATGTCCTACTGTTCCGCAGCCGTGTATGTGTCCGAGGGTGGTCAATAGATGGTTTGCAGGGGATTTTTCAACATATATTCCATGACTGAAGCTGCATCGGATGAGAGATAGTGTTGTGTCAAGATGAATGTTATCGTGTCGATGAACTGCTCATATTTTCTTCTTTTTGCTGTGTGACTGTCTTCCCCGTGAGGCGTGGCTCAATTTCTTGGATGGGCGGCTGGCGGATGTAGATCCTGATCTGCGGTTTTGTGGGGGAACACTTGGTTTGATCCCCGGACTCGATAGTAGTACAGAGGGAGGATATTCAGGCCCAATGGTTCTGCACAGCTTCCAGTATATTCATAATATATGCCGGCCAGTCCTGTAGCCCTCGCGCAGGGTGCTTGTTGAATTTCTGCTCCTAAAATGCTGTCCAGCTGGTCTAACGTCTGAGTGTTTAAACAACAGGTGCGAAACAAGAAGATAAATGAAAACGAAAAGGGCGACAACAAAAGGGTGAATCAATCAATGCGGAATTGAAAGCAGTCAGTTCCTCCTCCTTCACGTTATCCCCACGACTTCTTCATGGGAACATATGAGAAAATCTCCGCCCCCGAGTATCATTGTTGTGAAATTAAAAGTGTACACCAACTGTGGAATCGCCGATTCGTTTTCATTAGATGCCATTGGGGGCTCCATGAGGCTAACACAGAGCTCTGGCTATTTCAGGCATATAATCTAAGCATACTATACCGAGCAAGTTCAACTGCCAGGGGGGGAATTGCATCATGAAGGACACCACTGCTGAATGGGGACGCATACTTGCGCTCACCCCGTTGTAGAGGGAAAACTGGAGGAAAGTAATTCTTCACTAATCACCCTGATGGGTGAGATGGCAAAATAAACTTTCACACAGCGTCTGTCTTAATCTGGTGGCCATTGGCAATATTGATTAATTTTACACATGAGATACATCTGCTCCCATAATGTCAAGTCCAGGAGAAACAGATGAAAAGGGAAAGCGAAGTGAAACAAGAAATCCGAATAAGACCAAGATTTAGGCAAACTCTTGGATTCTAGAAATATATAAGCTTGGCTTTTTGACCGTTGGCTAACTTGGAAACCTAATTGCACATACAAGGACATGGTTACCTGCTGAAATTGTGACAAGTGTGACTTGACTGCATGCAGCCGTTACTGGTTTGAAGTTGGAGCAAAGGTAGGAAACTGGGCTTTCCTGGGAGGACTGTTCTTTTCTCTATTCCCTGCTTAGTTCTTGAACAGGATTTTTGCCAACTTTGGTCTTTTATCTTGCTTATACTCTGTAGTTTTGCGGGGTTTTCCAGGGTCCATCAGTTGGTCGGCAGGAAGTTGCGGAGGCGAATCTGATCGTGCATGAAGGTTATCAACATCCAAGTTCAAAAAGAATAAGACATAAATTATTCTTCACGGAGCCATTCCATCGATCCATGTCCTCCAACCCTCCGTAATTTGCCATGGAATATTTGTAGGTTTTGGAGGAGATGACAGGCATCACACCAACCAATCCGTGAGAGAGAAAAAGGAGTTACGGGTTCATGCTCAAGAAGCAGGGGAATAAGGGCCCAGAACAATGGCCATGACCAATCCTCTTAACGGCTCACCTGGAATATGAAACTGCAACTCCAGGTTAGGGGAGTGGCTTTTGAACCCGTCAAATAACTCTTTGGCTAATACTTTGAGGCTATGACTGGCTGATTACTGAGCTACGTATCGGAACTCGAAATGATTCATTCCTCCAGAATCAACGAGTGGACAATTCCGTTTTTCCGCCTGAATCAAAAATAGCGTGGGACCTCCAGGAAAGCAGGTGGGGGAGTTTGACTATGGTTCTGCCCCTAAGCCGCCGAAGATACTCTCTTCCATCTCCAGCTGTAATCGAAATCGCGAAAGTTCTTATAGCGGAGGAATTACTCCGTAAGTCAGCATTAGTTAACTTAAGGTTCTGAACAAGAGATGATGGTTCGTCATTGTAATTTGAGTGGCGATCGAGCGTGAGGTGAGATAAGAAAACTGATCGATCTGACGGTTTTAATTAACCTTGGAAACGGTGTCAGTGATGATGTTAAGATCTGAACAGGCCGGTAGACTCTAAGTCTGTTGTAACAAGGGGGAAAGATGGTTGTATGTATGGAAATTACCAATAAAACCCACCTGCCCTGATACTGTAACTAACTAACTTAGTACTTAGGGTTACGTCAGCCCGGGCACGCCGGGGCACGCCGCGGCCCGCTCGTCTGGTACGTTGGAGCGCCAGTCACACACTAACATTCTTACCGTACGGAAATACACACTAGCCCCAGAGAGGACTAGCCAGGGGAAGCGGCCTGCCCCTTCCAAGGTTCGGCGAAGGTTCTTTTTTTCTGTCAGCATCTACGCATCCAGTTATAGAGGAGAGATTTAAATAGAGGAGATGTGACATCTTCACTTCTTCTTCTTCTTCTTCTTCTTCTTCTTCTTCGGGTTTTGCGCAGCTGCGTTGTCCATCACTTTCATAACGGAAGCTAGCAGATGTGTCTGATAGTGGCAGACCATAATGATTGAAATCCATAGATAATTCTATGAGATGAGACATGGATGCTATAAATATATATGAATAAATGAGTGGGCTGCCGGCACTCTTTATATATATATGCATATACATGTATCAATGTAGCGGAACCGCCGTTGTATATGCAACTCATTTAATATTAATTGTCTCCTTAGTCGAAAATCTCAAAGGTTGTTGGTTACACTGTGGCTCATCATTCGCACATGTTTGACCATTATACAGACATAAACGGCCCAGGTATCTGTCTGGTGTTGGATCTGAGGCCCGATTTTAATGAGCCCTTTTCCCATCGGAGAACAAACTGCAAACACTATGAAGTGCTGTTGCTCGACATGAATGAAATCAGTCGCTTTTGTTCTCTCTCTCAATTCATAAACCAGCCTAAATTATGGTCTCACACTGTGCCCGGAGACTGCCACCCCACGATAGGTGGGACGCAGGCAGCCGTGTAAACCCAATGTTTCAACATCTTTGAAAAGCAGAAATCAGATATCTACTATTCTATTGATGAAACGAACTTACTCGTCTTGGGGGAGTAGGGAAACATTCATCTGCATATGTTTTGCATTGAGCATGCACAGGAATACTAACCGCCAGGGGGGGGAGAAAAAATTAAAAAAAATAAAAAATAAAAAATCCAGATGATGAATGAATGCACACCTCCAGTGTTTATGTTTGCCGTTTTAATTAACGCCTAGGTATGAATGGGGGGATCTATCTCTAGACTCAGAGAAACAAAAACGCCAAAGCCCCAATGCACTGGGGGACTGTGGAGCAAAATCCGGCACTTTCCAACGTATCAACATTCAGGGCTGCCAGATCGCAAAACTGATGGCTTTCTAGCGTTGGTTCACCTTGAAACAGAAGTGTCTGCCTATCCGAACATCCTGTCATCTACTCCAACTTCCCGAGGGCCAAGGACCAAGCGTACGGGAGTTATATGAAGCAGACTAGCCATCACCATATGATGCTTAATCTTCTGGTTAATCTTTGAATTTCAAACATCAAATTCTTTCATCTGACCTCACTATGCTCACTATATTTATAATTTGATCGATTTCTGTATGGTTGAATGATGTCTTTTCTTTATTTTTTTTTCTATATTAATTTTCTTATTAAATTGAGTTATATTGAGATAGTCGATTGACAATTAAGAATGTTCTGATTCTACATATATACATTTATAAATATTTGTATGCAGATTACTTGTTAACTACACAGCAATGTCTGATAAGTTAAAACAGGTCCACCAACAACGGCTTCGCAGCAGCCCAGTTAATAATTCCTTAGCAGTATCCTAACCTACGGTGTGAAATCATGAAACAAATTTTGTTTCCTTTGTAATTATATGATAGATTTCCCGTGCAAAGGCCCGAGGGCTGCACCTGGCGAGCAGGGTTCACGAATTAAACAAACGATGACCTCGGGAGAACGATGATTCTGTGCGCCATTCGCCCGCCCAGTTCTGCCTGCAGTGATTGGGTTTGGGACTTTCGGAGCTTCTTCGGTGGCGTGGCTCTCGCTCGTTGGTTTTGTGCACTGCAAAGCTGCGAAGCTGCGATTTTGCGAGGGTTGTGTATGCAGTGCTGCAAGAGAATAGGAGACTGACAGATGAGGAGGCTCCCGGATAAAGAATCAACCCAGACATAGATAGTATAGTATGCACCGTGCATACATTAATTAGCATATTCAGGTGGGTAGTGTTTCTTTTAATATTGTCCCCATATACCCCGTCCTTCCTTTCAATAAAATTTACTTGACCTTGAGAAATAATGTTTCCGCTGGTAACTCATTTTTACAAGGGACAAAACTCTCTCGTTTGTTCCTGGCCCTTGGCTGGCAGACTTTACCACCTCCGGAGTTAGCCACAGGAGACTAAAGCAAACGGCGGTAAATAAAGCCCCAGCCATTGGGGCAAAATTACAGGGGAAATTTTCACATCATCCCTGGCGGGCGGAGACTTGTTCAAAAAAGAACAAAAAGGGAACAAAAAGACATGTTGAAGAGGGGAAAATCATAAAAGAAAATGGTTGTAATTAATCTTTTTTGACTAGCCAGGAAGGCGATCGAGGCCCCTACGCAGCACTGCATCAAGGAGTCCTACATATACAGTAGTAGTTAGGGTACTTATTTGTATCCCGAATTGCTGGAAATTTCATGGATTCTTGATAAAATCGGTATTCTGAATTATCACTCTTCTGTGCTTCTATCGTCGATGCCAGTTCCAGGTTCCAAGTCCCGAGGAGTATATTATTTTATTTATTTTATATTATTTTTTCTTTTCTTTTCCCCGACTTGGCCAAGCGACTGAATTGACTTGTATCAAATCCCCCGATCCCCCAATCCCCCAATCCTTATCCTTTTTTTTTTTTTCTTTTTTTTTTTTTCTTTTCTTTTTTCTTCTTTCTTTCCTTCTTTCTTTTCTTCTTCGCAATTCATCCATCAAACACCTAAACACCAGAGAGGAACGACGAGTAAGACCCTGCCGTTATGCTTTCTCAACTGCCATTCGACATTCCCGTGGCCAGGCTTTCTTTTAATTCCCACTTCCAATTTAAATATCGACGGACTTTTGTGACCTCTCCTGTCCTACTTTGAGGGGGAACCTGCAGAGACACTCATAACCATCGCCGGTCTGCTTCTCGATCGACTTTTACCTCCAACAACTCGCCATTCTTTCTTTTCGCCGCCCCCTTTTTCGTCCCCTTTCTCCATTTTTCATATTCCTATATCCAAAACTCGACCAGGTTGCGACTTAGTCTGTCTTAAACTTCGTTCAACCCAATACTCAATCGAGATAGCTTGTCGTCATATCTCGCCGAAGGTGGACTGAAAAACCAAGGGTGTTTATTGTCCCAAGGGCATCATCATCAGCTTGAGGGGTGGGACGCCGCAACCACACTACCCACTTTGCTTCTTTTCCTTCTGTGCCGGACAGATCGGGGCCATTTTCGAGGCATGAAGATTGCACTGGTCGCATTTTTCGAATCAGGTGCTGGTACATACCTTATTACATGTGCGTATGCCCATTCTTTCCTTCCACATACCATACATTGTTACGATTTTACTCCCCCATAACCCGTCCGATCATTCATTCCATGCATATTCATGGATTGATTGAGGGATCGATTGATCGATTGATCAGTTGATCGATAGATTGAGCCTCTTACACCTGGATACCCCTGATACCCTCGTCCAATTTGTCCTGTCTCTCATGGCTCCTGAACTGACAATCGACTGTTTCACGTTCCCGCAGGCTTCTATGAAGTGTTGTTGAACTTCTCTTGAGTCAGGAACTCTGTTGTTGATGGTCCTCCTTTTTCCAACCACCCCTGCAACTCACCTCTACCGCCAGCTGTAAACGTTGGGGTCACAACACATTGAGGAACACATTCGTTATCTATCCAGTCTATCCTACCACTCCTTTTTCTTCCTTTCTTTATTGATTGATTTCAACCGTCATCGAATTTTGCCTTTGACAGGCACCCCCCATTTGATCTTACTAAGACACACACACACACACACACACACACACACACACACACACACAAAATATCCTTCAATATGAATCGATTCAGAACCCACCGTAAGAAGACCAAAGATGCCCCTGAGGACAAAGATGCCCAACCGCTCCCGCTGTTCACGGCCAAACCGTTCAAACGAGCCAAAAAACCCATAATCGAGTCCAAGTCTGAGCTGGACCTCTCCTCAGCCCTTCCATCGTCAGACGATTTCAGAACAAGTCTCCTGATGCCAAACTTATCCGCACGATTTAGCATGCTGCGGGAGCAGGATGACCCAAACTCTAAAATCGGAAAGGCTAATGACGACAGTGTCCTGGCGCCGAAGAGAGCATCGAGACTCAATGTGTTTGGCCAAGTTAATAATCCTCTCTTCGACATTGCTGAGATATCTTCAGTCCATGGTAGCTCAGCTAGACCATCCTTTGCCATTGGTCGCGGATCGTACGCTTCCGGGGAAGGAGGCTATGCTACTGATGATGATTTTTCTCCCGGTGGCAGCGTTATGAGCAGAGCAAGGCCAGGTGAAGGTAACAATTTGTTTGGTGGGCGGCAAAAGGTTTATAAAATCCCCGTTTCTACGTCGACGCCTAGGAGTGGATCTGTCTCAGAAGCTTCGGGGGTTGGGGGTGGAATGGGAGGGAAACCAGTCTATGAAAACGATGTCACATTATCTGCTTTCCAAAAGCTGAGGGCGAAGGAGAAGGAACAGCAGTCGGAGCTTGAGTTTGATATCCAGCAGAACAAGCAGGACACGGAAGATGACGGCTCGTTAGCCTCACGGCCATCAGGAAATCGCACATCCACTTCGAACACATCGGTTGATTCCGCTCGTCGCAACTCTGGTCAAGGGACGATTGCCTCTCCCTCGCCCAAATCCACGGTTGCCCCTAACCCCATATCATCAACAACAACAGGAGTCGAACGCAATCCAACCAAGACACGAAGGTACGGCCAAGGCATTGAGGTCAACACCCAACAACCCTCCGCCTTTACAAGACTTGAAAGCCTCAGCCGCCAGCGAGCTCCTGCCAATGACAATTTACTAATAAGCCGATCTTTGTCAAAGAGCTCATCGGTTTTAAATGATAAATTTCAACACCAGCCTCCGGTGTACACTTCTTTAGTTCCCGGCCCTTCAAGCCCACCCCCATATGCTTCCAAACCCATTATGACACCAATTGATTCTGCCAGCAAACATGAGCTAGAGAATCCTCCCATTGCAAATCTGGGGTTTGCCAGCTTACCCCCATTGAGCCCCCCACTTAGCGAATCAGAGGAGCAAACGTCGTTAGAGGCCGCCCTTCATCCTGAGGACCGTGGAAAGGCCACGGGTATGGGGCTGTTCAATAAGCCAGCTGCCCAATATGACGAAATTAAATTCTCGCAGCGGCAACTTCAAATGTATGGGGGCAGAGACACCCCCACATTGCGCCGCTGTTCCCCACCATCACAGCCACCACCTCGTGTGCCTGATTTGGAGACCACTGGACGTTCGCCCCAAGTTTCCAATGCCAGCTACCGTTCAAAAGTTGATTCCCTAGTATCACAGTTCAATGGTCCCCAAGATGAGGGTGAACGCACCAGGGAGATATCCACTACTCCTGCAAGCAGTAGCCGCAAACCATCACCTCCACGACTGATCAAGGGCACATTCCCAAGCGCTAGTGATCATGGAAGTGAGGATGGAGCAGAGCCATCACTGAACAACGTACTTGAAAATGATAACATACATCCAGCGGTCAGATCTAGCACTGACTCCGGTGACTCGAACGCCCAAAGTTCACTTACCCAAGGTTCTCACTGCGATACTTCGGAGCTACAATATTCCGAAACCCGTGACCTTAACACTATAGACGAGAATGAAAGCCCGGAGGAGCCTATCGGCGAAACCCCTGATTCCCCTACACTTGGTCCATCTGGGCTGGGTTTGAGCGGACTGGTTCGCACCCATCTTCGCCATGATAGTGACACCTCGATGAACTGTCCGCCTTCCCCGGGCCTTCCACTTAATATCCTGGAAGCCACTCGGGAAGTCAATCCCTCTGCTCGAGCGGCCAGAGACGCCAACCATGCTTCCAGCGTGCACAGTAACCCCTGGGAATATGACGACCTGTGCAAACCTGAAAGTCCGGAGAAGAAAGCCGCTAATCAACCCGGACTTCCAGATTTGTCGTCTATGTCTATGAGAGCGAAGCAAATTCTTGGGCAAGCAACTGCTCTGCGAAGTCAGGGACATAGCTCACCACAACAGAAGCCGGACAGACATGGTTTGGGTGACATGCGCATAAAATCGCCCACAGAATCGACTTCTGAGAGCCCACCATGGCAAGATGGGCCCAAACACGGTCATCAAAGGGATGGTAGCTCGGATACACAGAAGGAGCGGGAAGAACTTGCCAACGAGCTCGCTGAACGGCGACGAAAGGTACGCGAAAAATTAAGAAGCTTTGTGGAGAGCGAAAGCGGGTCAAGAAGCCCGACACTTGGCCACCGTTTCCCGGATTACGGCTCATCAATTCAGAAACACGGTAATGCGTTTTCGATGCTGAAGAACAAGACTGGCAGAAACCCCATGGCTGGTCGACACGACGTACCCCAGACCAAGGCTATGAAAATGCTTGGTGTGGACAATGCTCACAGCGTATCCTCGCCAAGCCTTCTTTTAAACGAAACAATCCGGGACGATGAGGATAGATTCTGTGAACGTGGGAGAGAGTCTCGTTCAGGTTCCCCCCTTTTTGGATCTCGTAATCACGCTCGACCCCGGCAGCCGCAGGTATCTACGATGCAGAGAGGGAGCCAAGACGGTTCCGGGGAGTCGTTCCATGGCGAACCATCTCCTTCATCGCATGCGAGCTCGCGTAGAGGTCGATCTGGTTCAGACGTTTCAGGCCGCTCGAAAAGCCAACCTCGATATCGTGATGATCTGGGACCTGTAGGTGAAAATTGCTCCATAAAAAACGATTTTTCAGCCGAAGAATCCAAGTCTCCGTGGGCACCAACATCCGTTCCTTCTTCATCTCGACCCTCCGAAGAGGTCGTTGATCATATGTCTTCAGAGCGAGCTGCGTTCGTAGCCTCTGGCAGGTTTCGGAGCAATAGCCGCTCAGCCGTGCAGAGCCACTTCGACCCAACCCCACCAATACCTGTTCAAATTAACCAAGCCAATATTATCGGTAATCCCCCACGACCATCTCCAATAACCCCTTACTCCGCCAACACCACACCCCCCCTATACGAAACATCACCAAACCTATCTTCCATGCCCACGCCAACCCTCGTCCCTCCCATGAGTAATCTCAACAGTCAACGAATCCAAGGGCTTAGTGCACACAGAAGGATCATTGATAAATCTATAATCTCTGAACCAAAATTCGTCTCTTCCACTTCCAATGTACCCACAGTCGGTCTACCCCCAGGCGCAAGCCTAAGCAACGGCTCCACAACCCCACCAATTCCACCCATGAACCCGCGTAGAAGACGGCAGACAACAACACAGACATTCCTCAGCGCGTTTAAGGGCTCTGATTATCATAGGCATGACCAGTCGCCAATGCCGCATTCGAATCCGACAACGCCCAACATCGAACAGAGCATATTTTCAGATGAAGAGAAGAGGCCACCCCGGCCACGGCAGAGGCTGCGGAAGATATCGAGTGAGGGTGGCAATCTGAATGCCAAGGCGAGACAACAGTTGATGAATTCTAGCTCGCCGGCGTTGCCGCAATTTCCTAGGAAGGTACCCATGGAGGGAGGCATGTTTTGATATCATTATCCGTGATTTTTATTTCTTTTTAACTTCTTCTTTTTTCAGGCTTTTTCCACTTCTAAGAAGATTTTGTTTTCCCCCTTAGTTGTGGTTCCTTTTTTTTTTTTTTTTTTTTTCCATAGCTACAAAACACGTGCCGAGTGTACAGGCGTTTCTCTGCTTCTTTTATCTTTCTGTTTCTCTTTTTTTCAACTTTCCTTCATTTCCACCTGTTGTATTGATGGAAGGTTTTTTTTTTTTTTTTTTTTGGGGGGGGGGGGGGAGGGCATGGACCCTCTGGATACTTTATTTTATTTGTTTTCTTCTTTCCAGCTTGCGTACAATACTGAACAATCCCCTCCTTTTTTTTCTGTTTCCAATGTGCCATCTATACACCCTTGGGTTTCGCTGTATGATATTTGGCTTTCTTCTGGTTATTTTAGAAGATCAAAAATGCCTGCAATTGGTTCATGCATGTGACTTTAACACCTCCCTTTTGTTTGCAGGTTATACTACCCGATTGGTGTGTATGTCGTTGGATAGATGTATGTATGTACCTATGCATGTGAAGCACATACAACCCTCAATCTAGCCCCTGGATTCCCCCTATTTTTTGCGTGTCTGTTTTTGATATACCTTTTCAAGCTCCCATGTGCCAACCAGACCCCGATCTTGATAAAATGAAGAAGATAATGCAAAATCTTTCATTTTTCATTTTTCATTTTGATTTTCATTTTCCATTTTAGAATCGAGAGCGAAGCAGCGTGACCGGTGAAAGACATTCACGTCCAGGCACTATATCCCTCATCTATCCACATATTCATGTGTATTTGACGAATAGATGAGTCTATGCTATTGATGTTGACCGGTCCCGTATCTACTTCATGGCGAATTCACAATGGTCCTCCCTTCATCTGTGGATATCAGTTACCATCCATTCTGCTTTTTGTCTTCCATATCCATTTTATTGCGTTTCAGCATACACTTGTAGTTTCTAGACGCTATTGGCGAATTCAAAATCCTCGAATATCCAACCTAGCCAAGCAAGGAGGCGAGCGAACCGGTCCTTGTCATTTTTGATAGGCGAGAGACACGGGAATTAAACCCTTTCTTTCCTTAACCTCTGCCTTCGCTTCCTCTGATTCTGGACTTTTATATTACGCTTCTCCATTCCGATACATATCAATATACAATATATAATCTGGGACAACGGCGGAATATCTGCGTCGCCTGGCTGGGCCTGTGCATCCCCATTGGGCAAATCCCCTGGGAGACACACCCAGATCAACACAACACAACAACACATCTGACTGCAAACAAAGAAACGCAACCTCATGACAGCTTCTCTTCTTCCTCTTTTTCTTTCTCTTCTACATGCACACACTACAAGAGCCACTTTCTACAAGGATAAACTATATCCTTCAAGACTTGGAATCTTTTCAGCGTCTTTTCGTCTTATTCTGTTTCATTGGATTAGCTTAGACATTTTGTCTTTCCTGCTCTCTTTTGAAATAGTTCCTACAGCTTTTTCTCTGTAGGCTTCACTCCTTGTTTCATTCTCGTGGTTCTTTTGGAAGAGGTATATTTCTCCTCTTATACCTTATTCCATTCAATCTTGCAGCTCATTAGGTTCAGCAGAGAGCTGGTGAGTGGAACTTTACTTTCTCTTTCATTTCGAAATCGTCCAGAATTCTCCAACTGGCACTGTTCTCTCCTATCAGTTTCTTTGCTTTTTCTGGTCGCATTGCGACGCGCCCGTTGACAAAGGGATATGGAACGTGAGTTGGATGGAGAGTCCATAGAGCTGCTACCACGACGTTCGTTCAATTTTGGTCCTGTTTTCGATATGAACTCTGAGCAGCCCGGGATTCCTGTCATCGAAACTGTGGCAATAGTTGGGAAACCAGCCCAGACTGATACTGAAAAATCAGCCAGGAAACCAGGACGTGGAAGGAAGAAAGGTAAGGAATATAGGAAGAAAAAGAAGGCCAAGAAGCAAGAGGCCGAAAAAAGGAAGTTAATGGAGTTAGAAGTTTCTATGGAGGTGAATGATAGGGATATAGCCGCTAGAGCTCTCATCGACCTAAGCCGCCCGCAGCCTCAGGGGAACAACCATGCACCTTTCATAGTCCGTAATATCAACCCGTTTTCCACAATTCAATGGCATGCGATGCAGAGAGGTTTCGCCATCCATGGATCTGGTAATGCTGGTATGTTTATATCAATATTGCGGAGCTGGCTCTAATACAACGCGTGCTCATCGGCAGGTTCCAATGACTAACAAGAAATTTTTCAATTCTAGAGTATATGCCTGAACCGGCAGGTTTTGAATCCAACAATCTAAATCAGCTTTCGTGGTCTTTTGGCACAGGCGGGCCCGGCCTCGCAAACATGCCAACGGCAATGGGTGAAAATGAAGTGGTATCTCCAGCTGGATCAATGCCCCACACCAACGATTTTGAAACTTATGGATTTGAAAGTCATGGGATATATTTTGGAGCCAATAACTTCGGTTCTGCTCCTTCGGCCACTTCTGAGCCATCCACAGGCTATCACGAACAGTTACAACAGAATGCGCCTTTTTCACCACATTATGAAGCTCCTCAGCGCCAGCCTCACCTGAGTTGGCAAGGCACAAACATGCCACTGGATGCACCGGCTCCTAGATTGGATGATGAATACAGTCATTCACAGAACCCCGCGGCCTATTATCCGTACCCTAATTATGGATATTATCCGCTTATTCCAACGTATATAACTATGGTGGCGGCATATCAACCCATTGCGCCTTCCGACGGGCCCGTGGTCGACGAGAATCGCAATCGTCACGAGAACAGCAACTTCGCTCCCAATAGACAGAGAGGAAGCGAGCAAGAACACCAGTGGCCGATTGCTCGAGCAATTGTTCATCCTGGACTTAACCATATCTCCCAGGTTTCCCGCGAAGAATTAGAGCCAGTTTCAAGCTACATTATCGAAGCATTCAAATCTGGAAACTATGCGGATTTTTGCCTGGTACTGAATTTCTCCGCTGGAGGTGGTTTACCCGTGTCTTTCCCTCTACACTCAATGATTGCCTCCAGGAGCCCACACCTGAAGGAACTTATGAAAGTCGCGACTGTTGGTGTAAATCAGAGAGAGATACATGTCTTTGCTGCCGGTTGCTTCATGCACCCCTTTGCGTTTGCCAAAGCACTGCAGCATTTGTACGGAACCATGTTGTTGGGCCCAGATCGCCTCGATAACAATCTCATGGTTTCTGTTGGATACCATCGCCGTGATCTCAACTCCGCCGGCGTCGAAAAAATGAATGTTGCTCTATGCTACATTGCATCGGCTGCTTTTTTGGCAGAGAGCAAAATACTTCGCCGTGGTATGCGTCTCGCCAAAAATGAAATCTGTTGGGATAATTTAGAAGTCATTCTCCATTTCGGAACTGCCGTATCCCATTTTATGATTACGGCAGGTACTGGCGTCGAGGCTGAACAGCGATCGGTGTATATCGGCACTGCTCTCTCCCGTGGGACTACCTCTCTACCAAATACCAACGAAGAGGGCGCAATGACGGATGCCAACATGACAGACGACGCCTATAAGCCATCTTATAGCCTAAACCAGGAACTCAAGGATGTTTGTGCCCGCCAGCTTCTTGATGAAGCGCTTGCTTTCATTGTTGGAAACTTCCCTAATGAGTTTCAACTCGACTTTCACGCACACTCCAGCGAGTTGCCGGACAGATTTGCAGGTGCTTCACTTTCCAAGTTCGGTGTCAGGGAAGTTTCTGCAGTGATGTTTGGGAGTTTTGCTGAGGCCAACGACCACTTGTTTAGCACTGAGGAGAAGATCCTGTCAGCGATATTTTTGACCCTTCCCTTCAAGGTTTTGAAGAGGTTATTCAATGCCATGAGGGTCAAAGGTGTTCTGACAATGAATGTTGCTGAGGACATCGTTTTTGAGCGTGAGAGACGACGAATTCGCATTGTGAGGGCTATCATAAGCAAGAACGACCAGCCTGAACTGGTGGTGTTGGAAACTGATCCAATCGGTTGGCGCGAAAAGGTTATCACCGTCACCGGCAGCCCAGAAACTGCTCTGTCGATCGTCAAAACTTGGGTAGGGATTGAAGTGCCAGAAGTAATGGAGATCATGCCGAGGAACGAGACCCTTTGGAGAGCTTCCTGCCCTCCATTTTCCCAACCTTAATCACGACAGGCGGGTTTCCACCTCTGATGTTTCTTCTGCTGCTACTCTGATGTTCGAACGGTGTTTTGCGACCATTGGGGTGATTTAATGGGACTGAAATACTGGAGGTTATGCCGGGTTAATGGGACTGTTTTGGATAGCTTCCTGCTCTGGATTTTCCCAGGTTTAATAATATCCAACGGTTTAGCACCTCTGGCTGTTGACTTCAGTTACTTTGTCGTTTCGAAAAGTGTTTTGTTGTGACTCTGCTGTTGAGCTGCATGTCTAACCGAACGGGAGAGTTATTGATTCCTGACTTTACTTAGCTTACCTTGATACCCTTTTTCAATGTCTTTGAAAACTGCCAATTACTCTGCAACCCGAAAATTTTCCCCTTTTATCCTTTTTAAGATTCAAGTTTAATACTTTTCCATAGCGATGATAAATAATCCCCTCCCCCTAGGGACAAAGTTTTTGTTATTTCAAGTCCGTCCGTTTACCAGGGCGCTTGTGATTGCACAATTACGAAATCTTTGCCCCACTGATTTTCATTCCCCCTTTTTACAGCATCCCTCTCGACCCTTACCACTCAAGCGATATCCATGATAAATTGCCCAATAGTTTTGTCCTAAAGCTTTTCATGCAACCTCTACAGTATCCCCGTGGTCCCTTACCATTACAGCGCTGTCCAGTTTTCTCCATGTTGTTTGTTACGCTGCCGGTATTTATGAACATTTTCAGTAGCAATAAGAAATGGAATTTAGTTTTGTTATATTTCTCCTTGGGGTCTTCATCTCTCATCATTTTGATCCTTTTTCCCGCCCGGGATTTTCCGA